AAAGGGGAGAAGCAGCTCTCTCCTTTTTAGGCACTGTCCTTGAAGGGTTAAATTGCCCAGAAGAGTGAAAGAAGCGGCTGCTTTTGTGTGAACTTCTGCAGATTGTGAACTTCTGAGCCATTCCAAATACATACTAGGTATAAAGTTCTGAAACTACCTGAACTTGGGGTTCAGGGGTATTGATTGATTACAGCGAAAGCTTTGCCCTCTGAACCTGGCTACAGCCAAATAAATCTGTTTCCTGCTGTCTTCAGTGTCTTGCCTGTCTTTTCCCACAACAGGATCACACTTATCTGTGTTCCTATGGAAACTATTTGAATATTTGTTTTATGTGGATTTTTATTCACTTTTCAAACAAAACTACTGAAGAGTGCCCCATCAGCTGCCCAGCAAGCATGTGTAGCTTATACAATGGCAGATTGGGCCAAAAGCTTAATGTTGTGACCTGTTTTGAAAATAAAGTGTCTTGAAATAATAAAAATAAAAAAGAATTTCAGGTTGGGGATGTAGCTCAGTGGTCGAGTGCTTGCCAAGCATGTATGAGGCTATGGGTTCAATTCTCAATAGTGCACCCCCCAAAAAAAAAAATTCATTGTGGCATTATTTGTAATAATGAGAAATTGGAAAATTGAATACATTGACAACAAGACAACAAATAGAAAAAACAAATACAGGAATGGCTAAAGTACAGTACGATACTTTGTAACTGGTAAAAATAATGTTAAGGCAAGGGCTTAATACATGTGAGACAAGCTCTCTACCACTGAGCTACATACACAACACTTTTCATTTTATTTTGAGACAAAGTCTCACTAATTTGCCCAAGCTAGCCTTGAATTTGTGATTCTCCTGTCTTAGCCTCCCAAGAGGCTGAGCCTAGAAGTGTCTGCCACCTGACCTGGCTTGCATTTTTTTTTTTTTTTTGTACCAGGGATTGAACTCAGGGACACTTAACCTCTGAGTTACATCCCCAAACCTATTTTGTATTTTATTTAAAGAAAGGTTCTTACTGAGTTGCTTAGTGTCTCGCTTCTTGCTGAGGCTGGCTTTGAACTTGTGATCCTCCTGCCTCAGCCTCCCAAGCTGCTGGGATTACAGGTGTGCATCACCATGCCTGGCTTATTATTATTATTTAAAAGGAATATGGAGGCCTATACAAAGTCAAGTCATCTGTTCAAAGTAACTCAGTGGAAGAGAAGTATCCTTCAGACTCAATCTTATTCCTTCTATAATTCCAGAGTCACA